GGCCGCGTGACATACAAATGATAACGTAAGAAAGAAGTGACATGTAATATAACTTACAGAATTACAACGAGCGATTTAATAAATGCAAACTAATCATTTAACTTAACTTTTATCTTTTAATTATATTTTACATTATATTTAATTTAATTTTTAATATAATCGACCGTTAAAATAGTCTAATTATTTAATTCGAACATATTTAACTGGAACATATAAGCCCTGGTATGGACCTTGAGACTATTCCTAATTTTTAAATAATAATTTTATGTTTCATATTTTTATCTTTTACAGTTTTGAATTTAAAATATTCAAAAAATAAAAATAAAAATAATATCAAAAATTTTATATTTTCTTTTAACATAAAAAAATACGAGTTTTTAAATCATGAATAAATGTACTCGCCACAACGTTGAAGCAATAGAACATTCCACTACAGTGGAATTGTGGAGCGACATAATTGTGAAATGCTATGAAAATGACTCGCGCAATATGTAATTTACCTGGATGCGTTAACGTAACAGGCTAGGGCGTCTTTCGGTTGACTAACACTTTCGTATAATATGCCCAGATTAGTCCAAGCAGCCGAATGGGATTTGTCTAGTTGCACAGCACATATGTAGGCTTGCAATGCGTCCATAGGCTGATTCTGCTGTTGATACAGCACTCCTATACTACACCATGTGTCTGCATTGCCTTCCGATTTTTCGACTGAATTTCTATTAAGCACATGGAGAAGATCATTAATTTCCAAATACAGAGAAAAAATACAACAAATGTATACAAATATGTATATGGAAGTATACGTATATTAAATCTACCATACTTGCCTGTATGTTCGTATTAATGTGAATATCTTTGGAAAATAATATTGGAAAGTTTCTTCGTGATTTTGTATTAATGCCCTATACAAATATTAATAAACATATTATAACAAATGAATAAAAAAATATAAAAATAAATTTTTGGAACATGCGTAAACACACAAAAAATATATAACTAAATGTTTATAGGGCATGCGTAAATAAAAAAAAAAGGAAAAAAAAATATTTTAAAGCATGCGTACATAATAAGTTTTTTTTTTCAAATTTCGAAAAAAAAAATCTAAAGTGGCCAAAAAGAGTATTCATTGAGAAAAGAATATTTATTTAAGTAGAAGAAATCTAAAGATATTGATTATTTCAATTGCTAAAAATTGTTTATAAATTGAGCGATTGTTCATCGCTTTTCGGAAGTTCATTCAATAGAAACTTTTCCATGAATAATACCATAATACCTATGAATAATGCAATAAAATTCACACACGGTTGTTATTGAAATTGCAATGCCGAAAAGTCAATTTTAATCTCACTAACAATAAGTTCTTTCATATAAAACCTCATATTTCGTAATTATAAAAAATGCACATTATATATGTATATACACATAAATTACATGCATAAATAAAATATATAAAATAAAGTATATAAAACAAGTTCTCTATAAAATACGTTCCATAGTCTAAATAATAAATGAGACATACAAAATTAAATTAATTTTCTTATTTGAAAGTACATGACATTATCTTAAAAAAATTCATGTTTATAAAAACTTTTGTATATTTTGTAATTTTAGCTACAAATGACAAAAAAAAAGGAAAACTTTTTTAAACGACTACCTCCAATATCTTAGATACAAGGCATATGATATCAATTTTTTTTTTAATTTTCAATTAACATATTTTCATGATTATTTCAAAAATCTCAAGCACACGCAGTTCATTTTTAGATGGATCCCTGACACGTGGAATTGATTCATACACGCCATATATTCTTTCACGTTGCAATCTCAATCGACAGATTTACACTCGATGGCGTACCTGGCTTTTGAGTGTCATTACCTGTATGCGATAAATGCTTCGTGCACCTTTCCAGAGGCAGCCAGACAGCGTCCTAAAAGATAAAGGCTCTGCCCGCTCTTGGGTTCGGCTTCGATAGATTTCTGCAGGCAGTGGATAGCTGTGAATTGCTTCTGCGCTCTAGTTATGCCAAGCACCGTGCATTCAACCACGTGATACATCCATCCTGTGTGAAAAAAAAAACAAAGGCGAATGATGCACGTGACGCTGTCTTTTCGTTATTTTCTTCTTTCGTCTATCATCTCGAGAACCATGTTACTATCCGACATGACGCTACATGACGAACTAAACTACTAGCGAACTAAACTGAATAGACTCTCTCAGGTATGGCCTAGGGTTGCCCCCGGCAGCAATCGTTCTTACTGCTCTTGCTATCCCTTCTCTAGGGGGGCTGTCTCGAATTACCCCCTTGTAAACATAGGCGCAGCAGCGCGAAAAACGACCCTAGCGCACAACAACAAGATTTTCGCCCTCTTCACGAGAATAGAAGATCCTAAGGGATTTTAGCCTAGCCGAGCGATTATATTCGTCAATTGCCTTTGAAGTCGCGTTCCAATTCTCTCGGGGATTGCTGGTTAACAATAAGATGTTTTATTAACTCTACTCCCTCGGATTAACTGAAATCATCCAATTTTCTTCAAGGAATAAAATATTGTACAATTATTTGAATCTCTAGGGACACTTTCTTTCTTTAGAATACTAC